GTTAAAGAAGTCAAGTGGCAATAGATAAAATCACAAAAAATTATTTGTAATTTACCCTAATTTGTTTAGCAAAATATTCTTTCTATTTATTTTCCTTTTTCTAGTTCTCCTTTGTAAGGTTTAATTTTCGTGAATTGGAAAAAAATATTTGTCTTCTTTTCTGAGGTATGCACAAGGGTGGATAAAGAGTTCATTCAATATCCATTATCTATGTAACTATACTTATTAGCAAATTGTAACTGTATATGACCAACATAGACATATTTCTTTTTAAGTTTTTAACAAGATATACTCTAAGGATGGAAGGAAAGGGATAATAACACATAGAGCTTCTAACCCTCATTTTGAAATGTGGAAATAAAGCCCCTCAAGTCTTTCTTTTCTTTGATACTTAAGCCTTTCAACTATTTAGTTGTATTTGATTCCTACCTAATATGATAGAATGAGCTATATGAAGCGGGAATATGGTATGAAGTGGCATTTTTCTTGATAAAAGTTGTCTACTTCCATTTTTACCCATCAATTCATTAGCATGTGCTATGAACATGACATATTTATAGACAAATGTGGCTACAAAGTGATTGGGGACAAATTTTTAAGCTTTCAATATGTAGGGATCTTAATGCATCATTTCATATGAGGGGCTAAAAATAGATGTTATGCAATTCTTAGGCCAATTTGTAGTTTTTTCTTTTAGACTCAGATTCTTGACTAACAACATAATATTTTTTTGAACATGCAGGTTAACGAACCAACCATACTAATACCAATTTCCATTTTTGTGATCTTTAGCATGTGTTGTGTATTAGAATACATTCACACAAATCATGGTGGAATAACCACAAAATGGCTAGAATAATTGCCATGACTGCATGGTTATGAGGATTCCTTAGTGCCATATTCAAGATCTTGAGGTTGTCTGAGACAATATTTGAAGTTACAAAGAAAGAACAAAGTTCAAGCACTGAAGAGAGTGATGAGAAGCTAGGAGGTTCACATTTGATAATTCACCAGTTTTTGTGCCTGGCACAATATTTTGATGGTGAATTTGACTGCTTTGGGTATTGGATTCTTGAATTTCATACAAGGGAATGGAGGTAAAATAGAGCGGGGAATAGGAGAATTGGTATGTAGCACATAGGTGGTCTTATGTTTTTGGCCATTCTTGAAAGGATTACTTGGAAAGGAAAATATGGGATTCCATAATCCACAGTTTGCATGTCTGCAGCTCTGGTATTTGTGCTTGTACAGGTTTGTAGATCAAGCTGGGGAATATGAGACTTTTGTTGTTTTAAAGTTAACTGGTTAAGTATTGGTTTCATACTGGTATTTAATTTATGAAATTCACATGTTCATCTAAAAAAGATTTTCATCATTGATATTTTTCTGGAAAAGCACAATAAAACTGTGCTATAATAGTATAACACTTTATTTTTTTTTAATAAAAAGAATGAGGTGTAAGATAATAAAATTTTTTAAAAGCATGTTAAACATTTTTTTCAAAACAGATATTTTCTAAAAATTTATTTTTTGTCTTATTTTTCTTCAGCTGGAGAAGATTGGGAGCTTGGGATTGAAGAAATAAGGAGGGACATCTGTTTTGAAACAATGTTTAGTATAGGGAAAAATTGATCAGGCTCAAGTAGTAGATCAAAATTTTCTTGACTAAATACACGACTCTAAAATTTAGTAGCGTATCAAAATGATTTTTGAAATTTAAATGGAAATAATTTAAGGCTCTAATGTTTACCATTTTGACCAATGCGATCCCCAAAATTTTGATAAACTAAATATGGTCCCTAATGTTTCTAGATATTTTGTCGGCCATTTAATATCCAAGAAGCCATGTGGGCTTTAGCAACTAACAAGTGACACACTAGGTTATTCTGGTATCTCCATTGAACCAAAAAATAGATTATCTTGAAATCAAAACTATTGTTGTTTTTCTTGGAGGAGTCTTTTTAAGGTTAATAGGTGCTTTTAACAAGTGAGATGTATGCCTGTTTCAGAAATTAATCTGCAAAAGGTGATAAACTCAAAACTCTTTAATCAGAGAAACAAACAGAAATACATAGTATTAGGCATATAAACAACCTAACGCCCACGATAAAAAATGCTTCTTAAAAAGTTTGGACACTTAAAATCATAGACTGAACTCATTTAATAGAAGAACTTGAAAATGCTTCACAAAACTTGACATACTTAAATCAGAATCGTTAACTAGTTGATAGGAAAGCACATCAATTACTGAAATACTACATCAAAAAATTTACTTTAATGCAATTGCTATTAGTGAAGTTTGAAATACAAGAAAGCTTAAACAAAAAATTTAACAAAATTTTCTCCAATTTTTCTCAATTTTCTCGATAATTGCACCTGTTCATGGAAAAATAAAAGCAATACATTTTAGAGATAGTTAAGAAGTAGAGAGGCAGAGTCAATACGACATAGACAATGCATGGTACAGGGGGATTGGCAGGATGAATCAATTTTGCAATGTGTTATTGTTGGAAGAAAACCATGTGGACATTGAAAAATAAAAGATGTATAGTTTTTTTTTTTTAAATCCATTACTCATTTGCATATTTCTACCATTGATAATTTGATATATGCACATGTAAGCTTAAATTTTGGTCAGTCACCATATCCAAATTACTCAAAAAGGTTTTGGAGTATAATAAGGTTGGTTCTACTAGACATAGGCTCTTGTGTGAGCTTAGTCTTGCATAGGGATGGCAATGGATAGAGTAAAATCTGATGCCTATGAATACTCGACCCAATGGTTAATTTGATCAGACTAATCGATAGGTAATCTATTAGGGTTTGGAATTGATGAAAGGTAACTCATGGATACTCCAATAAGATTGGGTAAGAGAACTTTAAAAACCCGAAACCTGAAACTCCACACACACACACACACACACACATATTTTTTATATTTTAAAATTTAACATAGTATGTTGATTTAACATTATGTATATATTAATTTTAATTTCATAATAGTTAATTTTTTTCTCAATTATTCAAATTGGCAGGTAGAGAGTACCCAACCCATTGTCATCCCTAATCTTTCCTTCTCAGTGAATCGATTTTTTTATTCTTAATGCACTTAACATTTATGCCATACTTGTAGTATGAATCTCAAAGTCATCCAAGGGTCAGCATAATGCGTTGAATCAATCGACACCCAGCGTTCTAGTGCAATTCTGCAACATGCAAAACTTGGTATTTCGAATGTAGGAATTACTATATCAAACTCCTTGCACATACAAAAACTGGCCATGATTGTACACAATGCATTCATTCAATTGGATGGAAAGAGTATTAAAACATTGTGACAATAGAACTGTCTCATGAATGTGAATCCAAGTAAGCAACGATTCGAAAATACATCTTTATTTTTGACAAGGCAGGCAACTGGAATGTATAATTCCCATGAAATGGAACACTGCTCTAGCTTTTAAATGCCTTGGTAGGCGGCAATCTCACCAGATATCAGGCCGGAGCTCACCAGTAACCAGAGGCATCCATCTCCCTGAGTTGCAGACATTCTCGCCCACTTTCCATCTGATAGGGTGTTAATTGTTAGTCATTTTCTGATTGATTTTCCTAATTATTTGTGCCAAATATTTTGTTAATTGTCAGATTCTACTTATAATTGGCATTTGGATATAATTGCAGGGGTGGAGTACAAAATCCTGAAAAGTGCAGGATGAGATGTGCAAATATGCAAAGAGTTACAACCCAATTCCAATTGGAGGACAAAAGTTTCCTTTTTTGATGGCCGTTTGGTGCGTTGGCAGAGGAAACCAAAAAGAAACAGGACTCTTTGTAATTAGTCCTTGGAGATTAGGAAACAAGGAGTTAGAGGTTTCCTTGTTAAAAGGGAATTCTTCTTATTAGTAGGATGGCTTCATTCTTTTGGCTTGGGCCCGTTCCTTCGTTTTCTTTGTTTCTATGGTTGTTTCCGTTCCTTCTATGAGAACTACTGGAAAAAAATTTCTCACTCTTGATTATTAGAAAGAAACCGATGCCTTTGAAATCAATGGATTTGCGTGGAGATTTACTTATGCGGCGTGGCTAAACTTTTCATCTAGTCAAGGATCAACGCGACGACGCAGTCCCGAACATCTGTGAGATCGAATTAGTTTTCATTTGTTCCTTAATTTATTAATATTTGCACGTTGTCTACTTGAATTTCCTTGGGATTATTTTGTTAATTGGATGTCAAGGGCCCGATGTTCAATGTGACTTATTAATCTCCTGCCAAATTAGTCAATTAAATCCGTAATTGCTTAATCGATTAATATCAGTGGCAACTAGCATTTTTACACACTAGGGGGACGTGCAATCTGATTGAAATAACCCTCGTAGCGTGTTATTGATTGGGGTTAGGTTTTTCTAGTTCTTAATGCAATTGGGGAATTAATTCCTATAGTCGTACCTAGGAGTATTTTCTGGTTAGGGGTAATCAATGGTCGTACCTTGGTTATCAATAAATTAAGGAAAAATTGGTCGTCAGAGCTCGTCGACAACTATAACTAACCTATTAATAAATTAAGTGAGCCTCCCTTGCATCAATGATCGGATGAGCAGACTGTGTCTGAGATGTTGCATCCTTGGCTAAAATTTATCTATTCTTGATTTAATTCCTGTCTACATACGTGCTAGTTAATTATTCGTTTTTAGTTGAATTGCTTAATTGTTTTTAGCTTTATTCCGATAAAACCCCCCATTGTCAATTGGAACTTCAAAGAGACAAATATCTCCAGTCCCTGAGGAGACGACCCTGCTTGTCACTGTCTACTTGCTAGTAATGTTTGTCAGTTAATTAATTCTGGTATATCGGATTAAGCAAACTCTTCGGGAACAGGGTGAATCAAGTAACCCATTGCACACCTAGAGTCCCTGCTCCAGTACCTAGAATTGATTATTGACTGCTTTGGTGGTAGTTAGGTTTTATTATTATTATTATTATTGCACAGATTCGGCACCTGTCACCATCCAGGAACATCCTTCATTATTCTAGCCTCTTCCTCAAGATATTTCTTCCATTCTTTGACAAATCTGATAAGAGAAGCATTAAAGGTGATCATCATTAAAGCCATTTGGTCCAATGGTCATCACCATTAAAGGTGATGCTGGAGGTCAGGGGTTCAATCCCTGCCTCCCACAAATTTGCCACAATTTGTGGCGGTCTTAATTGACCTTCATCGATAGAGTCTGTACTCACATCGAACCCCCTTCCCTTCCCCTTAGACTAGGCTAGATTAGATTATAGGACATCTATCGTTTCGACAAAAAAAAAAAAAAGATAAGAGAAGCAAGTACATAAATTAATTAATGGGGTGGTCATCAAGTAAAATGCAATAACTTGAAGAGGGGCACATTCAGTGTGTTCTGGGAGAATACCACAACAGAAGTTACTCACCTTTCATCTTCTTCAGCTTGCGGCAGAGGTAAGATAGCACTGTGTGCATCATACTTTTCTTCCTTTAGTGCCCTACATGGTGCAAGAACTGGCAGCATATAACGCACATAACATTGTGTTTTGTATTACTTCAAGCAAAATTCAGTAAAACCAGCTTTGGTTCTCAAAATCAACATTCATCTGTAACTCATTTTTCGTGGGTAGAGAAGGTAAAAATCATGAATTTTACTATTGATTATTCACATGGATGAAAAATAAGTTGGCCTATGAGTAAAACTCCAACACTAAAGTCTAGTGCTAAAGTAAATGATACCATCCCGCTCAGCAGGGAAAAAAGACTGAAAGTAAAAGGAAGAAGAGTGGTTTCTACAAACTAGTTTGCATGACTTTATGAAAAAGAAAGGAAAGAATAAAATGGAAGGACCAAGAAAAGTAATCAGGAATGTACTCAATAAAATATTCATCAAATACTTGCATGAGTGATATTCCATTTCTGACAAAAACACAACTTAAGATGCAAAAGATTAATCTATGCCTCCCTTTCTTTGCATTTCATTTAGTGTCTTTCAAACAGATTCCAACACAAGAGATCTTAAATCTCCTAGTCCTCTCCTTTCTTCTACTTTTGATTCCTTAAATCCAAATATACCCAAAAAATAGCAACAACGGTGAAAATTTGGGAAGAAGAAAGCCAGCTACAAAATGGTTATACAAAAATCAACATCTGTTTTCAGTCTTTGAAAAGAAGACAACCATAACGTTACTATAGACAAACATCCAAAACCACCTTTGCTGTCTATCTCGTGTCAATTTATTGGTAGTATTAGTAACATAACTCAAATGTGCCTTTATTCTTCCAGGAAGTTCTACATACATCTCTACAAGTCTGTTGTAAAACAGCCTGATATGGCAATTGACCATATTTCTTTACAGCTCTCCATCTATATTCTTCAGACACAAAAAACATGAAAAAGAAAAATCAAATGAAAAAGAAAATGCTCATAAACAGTTCCACCATCTAGACTTAATTTTTTCCCTATCATCTACTTCTGGTAGACTATCTATTGAGTTCAAGAAATTCTCTCTGTCTCATCTACTTCTAGTAGACTATCTATTGAGTCTGAGAGATTTAGATTTTTTATTTTATTGGCCAGAGAGAACATCTATACCAAGATATGACTTGAGATCCTATTCCATTCAATTCTAAATTTGTTACAAGGATATAGGAAAGGCAAGTAGCCAACAGATATGAACATAGATTAAGGCAACATAATTTTTTCATTTTTCATTCCAAACATTCTAGGCTGTCTAGCCAGTTATACACACTTTTGAATTGTTGGCCCTATTTGGATGGCTAGATGGAGGTAATAAAGTACCCCAAGAAACATACAGCTGACAGAGTAAGCAGATCCGCAATCATAGAGTTTGTCTCGATATGCTCTATCGATAACTGTCCATTCTGTACTCTTTCTTTAATAGTCAGGAACTCTATATCTATATGTTTAGATTTCGTCGAACTCCTGTTATTATTGGAATATAGGACTGCTGACTTATTGTCATAAAATAATTTGAGTGATTTTTCAATACTGTCCACTACACGTAATCCTGTGACAAAATTTCACAACCAATTTCCTTGGTTGGATGCCTCATAACAAACTATAAACTCTGCAGTTATCGTAGAAGATGCTATGAGGGACTGTTTAGCACTCTTCCAGGATATGACACCTCCAGCCAACAAGTAGATATAGCATAACGTTGATTTCATAGTATCTTGATTTCCAACATAATCAGAATCAGTATATCTAATGATCTCTAACTTATCTGACCTCCGATACGTGAGCATGTAATCTTTTATTTTCTGTAAATACTGTAAGATCCGTTTGGTTGTTTTTCAATGATCTAATCCAAGATTACTTAAATATCTACTCAAAATTTCAGTAATGTATGCAATATCCGGATGCATACAAACTTGAGTATACATCAAACTCCCTACTGCTGACACGTAAGGAATTTTTTGCATTTCTTTTTCCTCAAAAACATTCTTAGTACACTGTTCAAGACTAAATTTGTCTCCTTTAACCACACGAGTGTCACTTGGTTTACAATTTTGCATGCCATATCTTTTAAGAACCTTTTCGATAAAATTCTTTTGTGATAGTTCTAAAATATCCTAAGAGTGATCCCGGTGTATCTGTATGCCTAACATAAAAGATGCATTTCCAAGATCTTTCATCTCAAATTTCTTAGTTAGAAATTTCTTGATTTCATGCAATAGACCTATATCATTGCTGGCAAGTAAAATGTCATCAACGTACAATACCAGAAAAATATATTTGCTCCCACAGAACTTATAGTATATGCAATCATCTACTAAATTCATCTCAAAACTAAATAAGACGATTACTTGATGAAATTTGAAATACTATTGTCGAAACGCTTGTTTGAACCTAGATGAATTTTTTAAATTTGTAAATCATATTTTTTGAATCTCCTGATACAAAATTTTTTGATTGCACCATATAAATCGTCTCATCAATATTATCATTGAGAAACGCTGTCTTTACATCTATTTGATGTAACTCAAGATCGAAATGCACCATTAATGTCATGATAATTTTAAAAGAGTCATTTGAATAGACCGGAGAGAAGATTTCTTTATAGTCGATACCTTCTTTTTGTGTAAATTCCTTGGCGACAAGACGAGATTTGTATCTTTCCACATTGCCTTTAGAATTTCTTTTGATTTTAAATATCTATTTACAACGAATGGGTTTCACTCCTTCTGGCAATGGGACAAGATCCCAAATATCATTGTCTTTCATGGATTTAATCTACTCATTCATGGCATCGATCCACTTTTGAGAATTTGAACTTTTCATGGGTTGACGGAAGTTGATTGGATGATCTTCCATCAATCCAGCTTCATTCTCATGTTCTTGGAGAAAAATAATATAATCATCTGGCACTGCACTTCTCTTTTCTCTAGTGGATCTTCTTATTGGCACTGGTTCTTGGAGAAGGAGAGTTTGTTCTTCTATAACAGTTTATTTTTCGACATTGTTTTGATTTGTCATATCATGATCAAGTTCAGGAATAGAATCTTGAGCAAGATCAATGACATCTGTGGGAATATTAATACATTTCTCTTTAAAGACAATGTCCCTTACTGTATTTTCTCCCTCAAACTTGACATCCTCAAAGAACCGGGTATTTTCTGTCTCAAAAATTGATTTAGTCATGGGATCATAAAACTTGTAACCCCTGGATCTTTCAGAGTATCCAATAAAATAACAACTAATCATTTTTTAATTCAGTTTCTTTTCATTTGGCCTGTAAGGTCTTGCCTCAGTTAGATACCCCCAAACATGTAGATGCTTCAAACTGAGTTTTTTTCCTATCCAAAACTCATAAGGGATTTTGATAGTTGCTTTAGTTGGAAATCTATTAAAAATATATGCTGCAATCTTAAGTACTTCTCCCTAGAGTGATTCTGGTAATGTAAAATGACCTATCATACTTCTTACCATGTTTTTAAACATTCTATTTCGTCTTTCAACTACACCATTCATAGTGGGTGAACCCGACATAGTGTGTTGTGGGACGATACCGCATTCCTCTAGGTATTTAGCAAATGATCCTGGACGTTGGTCACATGAACCGTCATATTTACCATAGTACTCACCACCACGGTCAGATCTGACGCTTTTAATTCTTTTGTTGAGTTGATTCTCAATTTCAGCTTTAAAATTTTGAACATGTCTAGTGACTGTGACTTTTCTGAAATGAGATATATGTAGCCATATCTTGAAAAATCGTTTATGAATGTTATAAAATATTGTTGATCATTCCAAACAGATGTAGAAAATGATCCATAAATATCTGTATGTATAAGTTATAAGACGTCTAAAGAGCTATTGATTTCAAATCTCCTTTTATTGGTTTGTTTTCCTCTATACAGTTAATACAATCATTAAAATCTGTAAAATTCAAGGGGTCGAGAATTTCATTTGACACAAGTCTTTTCATTCTTCGTTTAGAGATATGTCCCAATCTTTTGTGCCATAATTAGGACTGTCAATGGAATTAGGCCAGCCTGAGCTCGGCTCGTTCGGTCCGACAGAAAACCCGATAAGCCCGACTATTTAGTAAGCCGATCTGAACTTGAGCCTAAAAATTAGGCCCGAATTAAATATGAGCTGAACTTGAGCCTTATTAGGTTCAAACCCGATATAGGCCCGGCCCTTTAATCACCTATATATATAATATTTATATTTTGATATTATATATAATTGTATATCCAAATATATTATTACTCAATACTAAATATATATATAAATTACAAAACATAAAAATACATAAAAATACTCTTTCATGAGCTTTCTTAAGAGTCAATATTAGTATTGCATAACTAAATCTCTAACTTTTTTTTATTGGTTGAGTAAATTTTTGTATTGGCATAATATTGGTTGATTTCTTTTTGGTCTACAAACACAAAAATCATCAAGTATATTTGGATTTAAATCACAAGATTATAAAAAAGTTTTAACTTTTAAAGATGTATTGGCTTATGATCGCATGTTTTATTACTATTTTTCATGCATTTTGAACGAATTAAATATAAATATTGTTGAAAAATTTTTTGGTTTATATACTTTTTAAGAACTATTATTTGTTCATGTTTAGTTTTAATATTATAGTCTTGTAAATGTTAAATTAGTTTTACAACTTAATAGTTATAGTAATTATATTAAAAAAATTAAGGGGTAATAAGTGAGTTTGGACTAAACCCGATTAAGGCTCACAACCCGAATATTATGTGAGTTGAGTATGAACTTTACATTTATGAACCCGAAACTCATAACCCGAAACCTGAAAATGTTTCAAATTAAATGAGTTGAGCTTGAACTCCTCAAAACCCGGCTCATTAGGCCCGATTGACAGGCATGGTTCAGCCGAATTCTCGTTGGTTGATTTTCTCTTTACTCCTCTAGTACTCAAATGCAGAGATTCATGAAATAAAACAATTGTATCAATTAAATATGGATTATCGTAACCCATTAAAGACCTAGAACCAACTAATTTTGAATTATGAAACAATTTAAACTTTTCATTTTCAAATGAACAAAAATAACCAAATTTGTCCAAAACAAAAATAGAAATCAAATTCCGTCGAAAAGACGGTACAACAATGTCTCATTGAGATCCAAATAAAATTCGATCTTTAACAATAATTTAAAAACTCCTATTGTCTCAACTTGAACTGTTTTGACATCGCCCACGTAGATATATCTTTCATTATCATTAGGCTTTCGGCAATTCAGGCAATCCTGCATAGACACACTGATGTGAATTGTTGCACCAGAATCTAACCACCATGTGTGTTAGGGTACCGAAGTTAAATTAATCTCAAAACAAACCAAATTAAGAAACATACTTTTCTTAACACGCCAAGCGTGATAGTTGGTGCAATGCTTATTTTTATGCTCTTCAGTTCCACAGAAGAAACAACTATTCTTTCCCTGATCAACTGATTTCTATTATTGTTTCTTTTGTGGCGCTGTACCTGCAACTTTTTTATCCTTCTTTCCCTTAAATCCCTTGCTTTTATTATTAGTGGTTGACACCAGATGAGCACTTGCTATATGATCTTGCTTCAACCTTTCCTCTTCCTCCACACAGTGTGAGATGAGTTCATTTAGAGACCAAATCTCCTTTTGATAGTTGTAACTTACCTTAAACTAGCTAAACTGTGTAGGAAGAGATATTAAAATCAAATGCACTAGTAACTCTTCAGAGAGTTTCAATTTAAGTGCGTTCAATTTTGAAACAAGATGAAACATTTCCATAATGTACTATCTGATATTACCTTTACCACTATATTTCATTGAAACTAGGCGTGTCAAAAGTGTACTAACTTCAGTTTTTTCATTCTTGACAAACATTTTTTCAATGTCTTGAAGGAACTCTTTAGTCGTTACTGTCATTTTTGACATTGTTCCTCTGAATACTTCTGGAACGGTCTTTTTAATGATCATCAGACACAAGCGATTCGATCTCTCCTACCTTTCGTTATTTCTCTTTTCATCAGAGATACTTTGATATGTAAGAGGTCATCTCTTAACGCAAGGTCGAGATCCATTACTCCAAATACTATCAAGAGATTTTTTTTCCAAGACTTGAAATTTGTGACATTCAACATAGGAATATTAATGATGTTGGTAGAAATATTTGTAAGATCAGTTGCAACTGAACAGAAAACATAAAATAATTAAAACAAGCTAACATAAACCAAAATAATAATAAATTCAAATAATGGTAGTCCCACCCCAAGATACCGATGTTCCATTAATATTTTGTCCAAAAATAAAATATTAATTTCTAAGTGATATCTTGGCACAGTAATAAACACTCACAATAATAACATGTTAAAAAAATAAATTTTCCTTTGGACCAATTTATAATTCACATGTAAAAAAATCGAATAATTATCACACGTTTATTATCATAAGTACACATGTAATTTTATTAAATATTGACCTTCGTTTAGGCCGATCAATATTCATAAAAATACAAGTATTCAACTAGTTATATTTTAGAACAAATCAATTTCCATAATAGAGGTCACTTTGGTGGCATATTATTTCAATTAATTTATTCCAAAATATATATAATCATACCAATATTCAAATTTAAAATTATCTAAATTACATAAAAATTTTAATCAAGATTAACTTTGGTCAACTCTGATCAAAACGTAGTCAAATATGGTCAAACCAACCAAATTGGATCAAGACTTATTGAACCCAAAATCCATATCCATAATTTGACCCAAATTTATCATTTAAGTCCCAAATTTTTCTTGAAGTCCATAAATGCTTCTTAAGATTTTATATTTAATGGGCATAATATATGAACTTTATAGGGTTTAAATGTCTTATCAACTTTATTAAGGTTCATTTAAATTAGAGAAACCCTAATATCCTTAACATAAATATATGCATATTCGCTCTTAAAAAAAAACAAATCAAAGAAAATTTAAGTTTTAACCAAATCAACCTATAAAGATTCAAATTAAAGTCCGGATCTTCGTACAAGGTTTTATCTCCAATTTGGTTATACATAAAAAGTTGACTAATCAAAGTATCATAGTACAACCAACTAATGTCTGGATACGGTGGAATCCACATGACCAAAACAATGAAACACGAAACTAGCAATCAATGACCAAGACATGAAACAATGAATTAATGGGTCAACGGCGTGAGTTAGCAACATAGTAATCATAGCAAAACAATAGATTGATGTCTAACAATCCGTGGAGCCCACTAGATGCAATGTAGCCACATGAATTTCATTAAAATCTGTATTCATGTAAGCTGAGTTTCCAGTTTCCAAGACATGAAGGCCGAACATGAATGGCTACGGAACATGACTAAATCATGAAAACAACGAATCATAAAATCCAAAACAAGAAACCAAAACACAAAACCGAATCATGCACATGACTCCAACCACAACAAAATTTTGGCCGTGCAAACAAAAAAAAAACTAAATTAATCATAGTTTTTTTTTAATAAAAAACTATGAATACTAAATCTAAATTATTTCCTAATAATCAACCATATTTCGCTCTGATACCACTTGTTAGGGTGGTTATTCATGTTTAACCTTTGGTGAAAATCATCACCTATTAAACCCAAAATTTATATGGCGATTATTAACAAATAGATTAACAATAAAATTGCAGAAGCATACCTAGATTCTTATCGACAAACTGATATTTGAATCTCTAAAGATCTTACAGTGGCCTTCTAGGTCAACACGTATTTGTCAATTCTTGAGAGAGTTCTTTAGTTTCTCTCTGGTATTTTTCCTGACGCTGGGATATCAGGAAAGAGATTATTTTGTGGTATTAGAAAATACGATAATAAGAATACGTGTGATCTGGGAACCATAACTCTATTTATAGATAACATTCCTGTTACCCTTTGGATCCCTATTTCAGCCTATCATGGAAATAGGAAATACCCTTAAGTCTCTACACATTAAAGGCCCACACCCTATTAGATACATTAAATCCAAACCATATTTGATCACTTTAATTGAACTTAACTTATTTGACAGTTTGTATTACATAATTATTCACATATAAGTCCAATGTTGGATCAAGGATCCAACAATATAATCTCCTACTGAGCGGACCGTCTCAAAGGTAATATACCCTGTTGCATACTGAAATTGTTTGGTTCCTCCTACAATTGCAACTTCATTGACATCCATAGACTGTATGACTATTGCTTTTATTTCCACAGTGATACCATTGTACTTTCCATTAGTGAACATAATCATAAACGCAAGCTCTAGGTTGATGTTATCAAGGGATGCCACTGCAACTAAGCCCTGCAAACGACCAACTAGTGCTGATCTGGGTGAAATGCTTTGTGTCAAGAAATTATCGACAATGAAAACAGTTCCAAATTGGTTAAAGTCCCAACTTTTGTTTGGGAGACCTGCAATTGGGAAAATAGTGTGAGCATCTCCACTTCGATATTCATGGTCGTCACTATCAAATGTGTGAACACTGTCTTTGATTGTCCCAAGTTTGCTAGAAAAAGCGCGTCGAGAATTTGGACAGATGCTATTGTTGAAAGTATGTATGTCCTAAAGACAATCATTTTAAAGATTTATATGTACTTGAATTATTCAAGTTTGCTAGAAAAAGCGTGCTGAGAATTTGGACGGATGCTATAGCTAAACTATTTGCCATCGGCCCATTGCTTTGTTGCGGGAGTTGCAAGAGAAAAATGAAACAAATGAGGTATTGACAAAATAAACCAAGTCTAGAAGTTTTGTGTTCAGTTACCACTACAAAAAAAATGGCCTTTCATGATATGCCTATAATGACACTTGCTGGTTTGTGTCATTATATCACTTCTATCATAACACTTGTTATCCACTCAATAATATATATTTTAATTTTTTTATTTTATCTGATATAAAAATAATAATGTGACTTTAGACTACCTATCATGATACTTGAGAAAATGTAAGATATACCAAAAAAAGAAAAAAAAAGACACAAAACGACATCATTTTATTTTGGTAGAAGATTCATTTGCCAAAACACTTAATGAAATACTCAAAACTTTCATTTTGTTTGCCAAAAGACTTAGTGAAAGTTTGCTTCTTCCCATCTCTCTCACAAGAAACAACCTATCCGTAAACAAGCTATCTCTGCAAATTATCTCTTGGCCAAAACACTTGAAGTTTTTTCTACTGAATCTCTGTGCAAACAAACTATCCTTGCTTTCCCATTGAGGGCATGTAATTGCATGGTAAATTTTTTATTTTGTGAGTAATTAAATAATGTTTTTGCTGAATCTCATCTTAAAGAAGCTGTCCGTTCTTCAAGTTATTTTTTTTCTGTCCGTTCTTCAAGTTGTTTTTTTCTAAGATTATATTGGACATTATTAGTTATCCTTGAAGCCGTGTACTGTATTGTGTTGAATTAAGAGGGTTAAGTTTCAAAGTTTGCCCTAAATTGATTACATTTGAAATTAGTCCTGTCTGTTTGAGATTGAAATGGATGTAGCAATAGTTTATGATTTGAGTGTACTTATTGTTTAGCTTTATTCCTCTCGGTTGTCTGCTTGATTCATGTGACTATTTTGTAATGGATTTGTTGTGCATAATTTGTTTGATAAAATGTCAAGTCCCCCTATTTTTCCTTTTTTCTGAATTTCTTTTAATGTTAATCTGTGAAACTTAGTTGTAACTGAAATTCTCTTTAAGCAGTTAGGTTTTTACGAATATCATGCTGACCCAGGCTCTTGTGTTGTTTAACCCTTGAAATTTCAGATTGAAATTATGAATTTTGCGAGGACGCGAGCACAGTAATTGGTATGAAAGCGCTTTCTTCTGTTATTAGGTAAATAAAATCTTTATCCGCTTGCTTGCAATTTTTGTTTTTACAAATTGTTGAGAAATTTTGGATTTTGTTAATTTCCTTTATTTGCTCGGCTGCTTGATTTAGTAGACTGTAAAGTCTTGAACTTGATTAAAGTTACATTCAGTTTTGCTCGGCTATGTGGTTAAGAAAGTACATTGTGATGGGCAAAGTGCAATTTTAAGTTTTCTCCAATTATTGTAACTGGTGTATATGTTTCTAAAATTAAATGTAAGTCTTACTACGATGCCTATTGCAATTTTAATGCCATGTTCTTGCATCATTATTTCTGTTTTCCTATTTTGCTTTGTATTTTTACCAACTTAATATTGGAATCTTGCAACTTATTTTTGTAGTCTTTAATCCTGACACCTTGTACAAGCTGTTGTTGTGTTCCAAATTTTCATTGCTTCTTATTCTCAATGATTTGATGAAAAAATGTTTAGAATAACATTTGTCCAATTTTCTAAGTATTAATTTGTAGTTGTCGTTTTCGTGCAGTTGGAAGCTTGTTGGAGGATATTTATTTATAGTAAAAGTATGGATAAAAGTTGGATGGATTTTCCAAGAACAAGTGAAAAGTACAAGGCAGGACTTAAAATGTTTCTAGACTTTGCATTTTCTAGATCAAGTTGTGACTGAATGATTCCTTGCAAAAATTGCAGCATAAGTGTTTGTGTGACTAAAATGGAAGCATATGACCATTTGAAAGTGGTAGGATTTATTAAAGATTATAATAATCGGATAGCACATGGAGAACTTTCAAACTACAATGAAATCACATCTAATTTTGAAAATACATCAATTGGGGTTTCAAATGGGACTAATGACATGCAAAACTTGGTCCATGATGTATTTGGGATGTCACATGGAACAAATGAATTGAATAGAGAAGGGGACATTCCTATTTTAGACGTTGAAAAATTTTACAAATTGATTGATGATTCTCAACAGGATTTGTATAATGGTTGCAAAAATTTCTCAAAGTTGTTTTTTATTATTCGTTTACTTCATCTAAAATGCTCTAGTAAGTTGGATAACAAGATTTTTAATATGCTTCTTGAGCTGTTGAGAGACGCATTTTCGAAGGTCATGACTAATTTGCCTTCATCTTACTATGAGACTGAGAAATTGATGAATACATTGGGGTTGGGTTATGAAAAGATTGATGCATGTCTTAATAATTGTTCTCTTTATTGGGGTAGTGTTGAAAAAGAACTTCATGCAAAACATGTAATGAACTTAGATGGGTTGCCTCAGAAAATGATCCAACTGGTGAAAAAAGAAAAATTTCTCAAAAAGTGTTGTGGCATTTTCCCTTAAAAGCTAGGTTACAAAGACTATTTATGTCTTCTAAAATTGCATCTCATATGAGATGGCATGAAGAAAAACGTACAAATGATGGTTGCATGAGACATCCAGCTGACTCTCCAGTTTGGCAAACTTTTGACCATCTACATCCAGAATTTGCTAAGGATTGTCGAAATGTTAGATTGGGGTTGGTGTCTGATGGGTTTAGTCCATTCAACAGCATGAGTTCTTCACACAGTACTTGGCCTGTAGTTTTAATACCATATAACTCACCTCCATGGATGTGTATGAAGCAACCGTACTTCATGTTATCTTTGTTAATACTAGAACCATCCTCTCCTAGGAATAATATCAATGTTTATCTACAACCTCTAGTTAAAGAACTGATTGAATTGTGGGATTTTGGCACCGAAGAATATGGAAAGAGACCACCTTTGCAAACTGGGAATATGATTGTGAGTGAATTGGAAGACTTGCAAATTGAATTGGGCAAACTTGTAAAAGGTAATTCGAAACTACCTTTTAATTGAATGAAGAGGAGTATTTTCTTTGACTTGCCATACTGGAAAGATAATGTTTTAAGACATAATCTTGACTTTATACACATTGAGAAAAATGTTTGTGAAAATATTTGGGGGACATTGCGGGATATTGAGGATAAAGCAAAGGATCATTATAATTCACGCCATGATTTGAAAGAAATAGGAATAAGACAAGAGCTACATCCCATTGAAACAGAAGCTGGAAAGGTGTACTTACCCCCATCTTCCTTTGTAATGGGTAAAAAATAGAAAACTATATTTTGCAATGTGCTGAAAAAGAAAAAAGGTGAAGGTTTCAAATGGTTTTGCAGCTAACATCTCAAGATGCGTTCGAGTAAAACCACCTAAAATTTTGGGGCTTAAAAGTCATGATAATCATATCCTAATGCAGCAATTGTTGCCTATAGTTTTGAGAAAAACTTTGTCAAAATCTGTGTGCTATCCTTTGATTCGATTGAGTAGATATTTCAGGTAATTTTGTTCTAAAGTGATTTGTCCTCAAAATGTGGTCCGTTTGGAAAAAGAAATTGCAGTTATACTCTGTGAACTCGAGAAATGGTTTCCACCAACATTCTTCAATGTCATGGGGCATTTAACTATTCATTTGGCAACTGAAGTGAAGTTAGGTGGCCCGATGCATTATCATTGGATGTATCCTATTGAGAGGCACTGCTCATAATTCTCATTATGTCTTAATTTTTTTTTTACTTTTTTCCTTTCTTTGATTGTTGGAACTGATCAGTGAATTTGGAATTATGATACTTTAGGTACTTAGGAACATTAAAATCTTATGTTCGAAATAAAAGTAGGCTTGAAAGTTCTATTGCTCAAGGCTACTTGGTAGAAGAATGCATAAACTTTTGCTCGTTGTATCTTGCGGACTATAATGAGACAAAATTCAATCATCCAAATAGAAATGAAGAATTACATGAGGAAATTGAAGATAGTTTAGATATATTCTCTGAATTAGGACATCTTTTGTGTAAAGGCAAGCCAACAGTTTTTTATGCTTATATCTTGAATAAAGCACATCAGTATGTTTTATTTAATTGCGATTTTGTCACACCTTACATAAAGTAAGTTCAACTAGAACTTGATGCATCAAAATTTTATTCTGGTATTAAATGTATGATTACAATGTTGACTCATACACTTTTAGGTAGCATTGTAAATTGATAAAAGAATGTCATCCTCAAGCTGCACAGCATCTATTAGAGCAGTTGCACAATGAAAATTTTGCTTTTGGTTTGTTGAACATGTAAGTAAAATTCTAGAGAATTTATTAAGTAATGTATTTGAATTCTTCATATTGAAATATAGTTTCATCTTTTTTTTTATATAGGTTGACAAGTTAGAACTTTCTCAAAATGATTCAATGTTGACAGACTTGAGATTCCTTGCTAAAGGTCTAGAAGTTGTTGGAATCCAACATGACAAGAATGTTATTAATGGATTTCGGTTTCACACCAGCGAAGTTGAGAAGAAAGAAAAATGCAGAATAGTGGTGTTACAGTCAAGGCAACAACATCCAGTTTTGCAAGTATAAGGGATCAAAATCCAGTTTTGAGTGAACCAGTTTACTTTGGCATCTTAAAAAATATAATTGAATTAATTTACGAAGGTCGTCGGGTGGTGTTATTTGAATGTGATTGGATATCGAATGGAAAGAGAATGAAACAAGATGCTAACGGGTTTAATGTAGTTAATTTTACAAATTTGAGGCCTCATGCTGAGCCATTTATACTTGCTTCACAAGCATCACAAGTATTTTATATGGAAGATCCAATTGATAAGAATTGGCAAGTTGTTATCTCTACCACTGCAAGAGATAGATATAACATGAAGACAGTCATGGATGTTGAGACATATTTGCAAAGTAATGTTGGCAATCTTGTTGTTGAGAATGAAAATAAGGAAATTGGTTGGGTTCGTGAAGGTGCACTTGGGATTGAAGTTGATTTGAGCCAA